ATTGTGCAAAAATATTTTTCGAAAAATTTTTTTTTTTTATATATATTACTTTTTGGCAATGGTAACAAATTTCATAACCAATTGTAAAAAAAAAAAAATTACTTTAATGAATAATTTTTATGTAAAACAAAGTCAAACAAACATTAAACTTTGATAAAAAATAGTTTTCGAGCAAAAAATTTGTTTTTTGTACTTTTTGGCAATGGAAACAAATTTTATAACTAATTGTAAGAAAAAAGATTTACTTTAATAAATAATTTTCATGTAAAATAAAGTCAAACGTGAACAAAAAAAATCCAAAATTTCAAAATTTTTCCGGGGTGGAAAATTATACCAATCAAATACACTTAATTAACAATTTTCTGAAAAACAATTTATAAACAATTACTTTCCCTGAAATTCATTTTCTTTCCACCTATTTTCCATCATTGCAATCAAACCGACCCTAAATGTTTAAAAGTCCTAAAAAGAATTATTCAGCTCAGGATTCTTCATTTCCTCAGAAAACATTTCTTGGCAGCGGCATTCATGGCTACAAAAGGCTTTCTCACCCCTGCAACGAAAAATAAAAAGGAAATATATAAATTTATGGGCTGACTACATAAACTTTTTTCTCGCACACATTTGACAGATTTTTAATACAAGATCAATGATATCAAATAGTCGACTTGATCATCTTTCCATAGAAAAAAGCCTTGAGATCCAGGCTGGAAGTTAGCAGATTTCCAGTGAGCCATAGGCACTAATCTTTAGTTTGAGGAGCTTTTTCCTACGACATTATTGGCAGTTGGACCATTCTAGTTTACTGATATTATTACACTTCAACAAAGTTTAAAAGTGTATAGGAAGATAATTCAATAGTACAATACAAAACTGATGCTTGATCAATCATTAAATGCATTTTTTTCCTCAAGATTGAGTGTGCAAGACCGCCAAAATATTGCTACAACAAAGTTTTTTTCTCGATACATTTGAATTGACTATACAGATTATTTGTTCGATACCTCATTTCATTTATCACTACATCTACCAGAAAGGTCCAAGCACAGATTTTTGCAACTTTACTAGGTTCAGTGATTCAAAGCAACTAGATATTTGTGACTTGCTTTACATGGTATGCACTACCTGATACAGCTCAACAATATAATTCACAAAATTTTAGCTTTTTTCCTTCTTTATTATCGTTGTCTCATCTCCCCTACCAAACATGCAATTAGATGATATAATTGAACTCCAAAATGGCACAAGAATTGGACTAACCTGTACATGTAAATGTCTTTGCCCTGTCCAAGATTATCTTTGCAAGTATAGCAGAAACTAAGGAAGTCCATTGATGGAGAGGATGAAGAATTTCTTGAAAACTCATTTTTTGTTTTCTTTTCAGACAATTTGACAATACCACAG